TTGATTGATTATTGTAGACTAGGCTGGATAAAAGTACAACATATTTCGTAGACTTCTTTTTGATGTCTTGTTACAGCAAGATTCTAAAATATCATAGCACATATTTTCCCAACACCTAGCACCTTGTAAATAGGCCTGTACAAGAGGGCACATAGTAAATAAATAGTTGGTGAAAAGCGTCTGCCCTAAGAAAGTGCTATGATTTTCTAAGTAATCTACACACTGTATGGCAAAGTGGGATAATCTCGGCTATCATTAATATTCCTTAAGTTTACTCTTGAATTATGGTCTTTACTGTTAAATGTTAAAGATGCAGTCTCATATTTAATGGCAAGAGAGGTCACTGGGTCTAAACTAAGCCAAATAAAATTATCTATCACTGTCATTTTGTGGGTTGGATAATACGTTCACTCAATTTTAAAATCCAGACTTGAATGACTTGAATCATGTTTGAACAGTACAGTAGTGAACCTAAATTTCCCTAACCTCATGGCACATTGGAATTATACATAATTACATAGTCATTAATGTACAAAATTCACATATGTGCTGGGTGGCTCAACACCATGAAGAGGAACTGTAGCCTACTTAATTACACTTATGGCACAAGTTTTATCTGCCATATCGTGAGCAACGTCAATCTACCAACTCGCTTGGTAAGATGGAACAATTCATATCACATAAAGAGAAGGCCTGGCACAACCCACCCAGCTAGATATAGTTTATACTAAATGCTGACCGGGCCCGGTCCTGCGAGCAGCTCCAGGAACTGGTATGGAATGTGCAGGTTGATGCTATTATGCTCGACAAGTAGGTGTCCACGACGTGATGATGCACCTAGCACTAAGACCTGATCTCCTTTCAAGAGCTGAACATCCGCACTGCCGTCGTCTGAAAATTTACGAAAGAGTTTACCAGTTAGTTTAAGCGCTTATGGCAGAAAATGCTCCAAGACTGTGCACTATGCAGCGGACTCACCAGGAAAGGGCATTTTGATCATCCTCGTCTGTGGGTAGCCCAGCTTGGTGTTCCCCGTCACTGTATACGACCGACTGGGGGGCACGGGTGGGGGCCGCTCCTGCAACATTTTCGGCGATTGTAGAGACTCCCCGTGTGCAGCACTCACCCTCCTCTCGGCTCCTTCAAGAAATAGTTCACTCGCGCTAACCAGGTCGAGCCCGAACAGGGTGCAGGTCTGCTGGATGACATCGGGGTCGGGTGGCGGCGTGCCCGCGATGGGCTGCGGCCGCGGCCTGGAGATGGTGCCGTTGGCGCAGGGACCAGGCGTGGCCGCCGCGGCCGCCACCGCGGCGGCCGCTGCTACAGCGGCGGCCGTCGCTTTGGTCGCCGCGCTGCCGCCGCCCGTCCTGCCGTGGCCGTGAGTGGGCGCGGCGCCGGCGCCCTGGGGGCTGCTGGGTATGGGGCACGCCCCCGAGCAGGCGGACTGGCCGCGGCCGCCCATGGACGCCATGCTGCGGCGCAGGGCGGGCCAGCGCTTCCTGGCGCGGTACCCTCGCCACTGCGACTGGATGCGCACCGCGCTGGCGTGCCGTGTCTCCCAGCGCGCCGCCTCCAGCTGCTGGCGCGCGCCTTCGCTCAGGAAGATGTGCCGCTTGCCCAGTGCCCAGCCCATCGACACCTGCGACTGGGAGTGCTTCTGCGGCTCGGGCTCCAGGAGCACCTGCAGCTGCTGCATGAGCTGGGCGCACTCCTCGGGGGCCTCGACGGGGACGTGCTGCGCTCCGTGGCGGCCATGCGCGGTGCCGCGGCGACCGGGTGCCAGCAGGCGGTAGCGCGCGTTGAACGCCTTGAAGCGCATTCGGTGCGGGAATCCCCCGGCCATGAGGTTGACCGTCTCGAGCACCTGCAGCGAACGGATCTGCCGCATGACGGTGGAGCGGTCCAGACGCCCGGGGGTCTCGGCCGCGTTGGAGCGGATGCAGCGGATGAAGTGCGGACGGGCGTGCACCAGCGTCCGCAGCAGGTTGTCCAGCCGCGTGTGGAAGTCCTGCGTGAGGGTGGACACGGGCTCGTCGCCGTTCAGCCTGGAGGAGTGAAAGGAAGCCGTTAGTACGTACGATTGTAATAAGCGTACTTCTAAGAAGTCCCCCGCACTACCATGAGAGTATAAGGGGCTCCATGGCACTACACTCACAGGTCGGTGTGCGATGTCGGCGATATCCTGAAGCTGACTCCCCGAGGGACCGTCTCGGATGAGAACAGCGCCTTCAGCTCACTGCCGAACAAGTGGGTGGCGAAGCCGAAGCTGCACGTCTGCTTGTGGAAGACAGACACCAGGTCATCGGGCACCACGTCCTTGTTGGTGTCTGCGGGCATGAGTTCCAGTGTCAAGGCACATCACTACCCTATCTTATGGTCGGCGCTCTTACGTTTTTGAGAGGGACTCACCAAGGAAGTCACTGGCGTCGTACACCACCCTGCCGGCAAAGTGCTGGATCCCGAAAGAGCGCGCCTCCAGCGGCCGGGGCTCGAACAGCCGCGGGTTCTGGCGGTGTTGGGCGCGTACTTTGGCCAGGTAGGTCTCGGCTGAGCCGCGCACTGAGCACTCCACGTCCAACATGCTGAGCAGGCCCGTCCTCTGCGAGAGTCAAGGCAGAAGTGAGGTCAGTCATTACATAACCGTAGGCGACGCAAACTGTCAGTCAGCAGTATGCACTCTACTCACCAGGGAGGAGATGAGATCGATGCACGGCACGTTATCCACGTAGTCGACCTCCACCTCGGTGTGGATTCCCTCATCCCGGCACGACTCGATAGACGACTTGAATATGTGCGTGTTGTAGAAGTGCTGCATGGTCTCGGCACACAGGTTGATGCAGAGGTGCTCCAGCTGGCTGGGCTTGGGATCCTCGAAGCCGAACATGTCGAGGATGCCGATGAAGCCGTCCGTGGCGTGGCGCACCGCGTTGTTGAGCGCCGCCATGGACTTGCTGGACTTGGAGCCCGCCGTGCCGGCCGTGCTGGCGTGCTGGCTGAGCACGTCCGCCTGGTTGTGCACCGACTCGTTGGAGTCCGAGCTGAGCGTGCCGAGCGTGGAGCCGAGCGTGGAGCCCAGCCGCTTGAGGCTGTTGGCGCGCCGGACGATGGTGGCCACGGTGCGGCAGTACAGCGCCTTGGCCAGCGAGTCCCGCGTCATGTTGGACTGCAACACAAGCGGCGCAAGCGGTGTGGGTGAGGAGGTTGTCTCCATCAGCGGTGCTGACGACGTGACGCCGCGCGCGTCTACTCACCATGTTGGCGTCGCACACGGAGCGCACCAGCTGCCCCCGGGCGTTGTGCGTCCGCGAGGTGAGCCCCCGGAAGAGCGCCGTCCCGGACACGCCCAGGAGGTTGGCGACGGCCTTGAGCTCTGCATCCCCCTGCACAGACAGCTCGACGCCCGGGCCGCGGTCCGGGCCGTCCAGCACCACGAACTGCACGTTGCCGAGGAGGAGCACGGCGGCCAGGACGCGCACCACGTCCAGGAAGGGAATGCCGAGCACGGCCAGGCACTGCTTCCAGGCCTGGAAGCGCGCAGCGTCCTCAGCCTCCTCTGGGCAGCCCCCGGGGGGGATGGCCGCCCCCGGGTCCCCAGAGCTGCCACCCGGCCTGCGACCGCGCCGGAGGTAGTTGAGATTGTGCCTCGAGTAGCCCTCCAGGTTGAGCTTGGCTGCGGAGAACACAAGGGAGAAAAGTGTGAGTTAGTCATGTCCAGAGATGAGAGCGCGCTGCGGCACACCAAATACGCACTCGGCTCCAGAATTGCAATTTCAATGTGTTATTGAAGCGTTTTTGATTTTTTTTTTTCCAAAGTATTCTTACGCGTCACGTTCCGACGCACTAGAGTTCGGCTCCAAAGCTAGGACTTCAGAGCCGAAGCCGACCGACTCCAAATCTCGGTTCCCCAGCGTGGTTCGGCGGGGCTACAAACGCGCCCCCTCCCTCTAACCGCGCTCACTCTGGCGCGTTACATGTGCCTTCGATGCACTTGAGGACGAAGGACGAGACCCCATGTTGTGCAACTTTTAACCGGTTTGCGGAGCTCCTCCGCTGCCGCCGTCGGCCCCCCGAAAGTCGCGTACGCCTGGGTTATTTCTGGCACCCCGCCGCTCAGGCGCGCGGCAAAGGAAGGGCCAGGCCAACCGGAAAACTTGAATCGTTCCGAAGAATTAATCCCGCGCCAGCAGCAGGACCTGCCCCTACACAATGCGTGACTAAAAACCGGAAAAATGTCCTCACATTCTGCAGCGCGCTCATTTAGCTCATCACGCACCTCTCATATTTTTTACACTACTTATTCTTTACAGCTGCGGCGACCGGAGCTCGCTCAGCGGGGAAGCACTCTACAGCGAAGGTAGAGAGGACAAGAGGAAGAAGGGAGAGGGGGGGG